TTTTCTAGTTATCCAATAGACGATGGATGATTTTCTAGTTATCCAATAGACGATGGAGAATTTTCTAGTTATCCAATAGACGATGGAGAATTTTCTAGTTATCCAATAGACGATGGATGATTTTCTAGTTATCCATTGGACGATGGAGAATTTTCTAGTTATCCAATAGACGATGGAGAATTTTCTAGTTATCCAATAAACAACTTTTGTTAGAAACTTATATTCTGTTTTCTCGGACAGAAAAAAAAAGATTTATTTTACTAACCAATAAAATGGATCATTGTAAGAAGTCATTAATCGAAATGAGGTTGAAAATGATGTAGGATAATTAACAACTTTATTAATATTACTATTTTTACTAGGGTCAAAAGGGTCCTCACTCCTATCGTTACGGGTACGACACTGGCGACTCCTACAATCCTTTAACGCGTTTCGAGGAGCGAGATGGCAACGGAGTGGTTAGGGGTTATTATACATATCGAGACCCTTATGGAAAACTTCAACGGGTTGAGTACATGGCCCACCCCAAATTAGGATTCCGTGTCCGTGGCAGCTTTGGAGAATTCCCCAGAAGAGGGCACTGATGTTGACAGGTATTAACGGTCAGTGTATACTTTATCAAATGAAACAAAAGTAAAATAAAATCCAGTTTATCTTCTCACGAACAAACTGCCCTCTATTTTAAGAAAGGTGCTTCACGTATTCTCTCAAAGATGAAATGAATTTATCATCAACAAAAATGTTGTCTTTTTTTTATAAAATGAAATACAATTAGGGGTAAGTTTCATGAAAAGAAACCCATTTTTTTAGAAAATAATGTGTAATGAAACATGTTTATGTTAAAAATCATATGTTTTTGTTGCTTATGTAATTGTCTTGTACTTCAGAGAGCTTTAGCCACTGAAGCAAATGTTATTAGCAAAGATTTGGCTGACATAGTCACAACACTACTCTCTACACTCAAAAAATACAGGTAGTCACAACACTGTTCTCTACACTCAGAAAATACCGGTAGTCATAACATTACTCTCTACACTCAGAAAATACCGGTAGTCACAACACTACTCTCTACACTAAAAAATACAGGAAGTCACAACACTACACTCTAAACCCCAAAAATACAGGTAGTCAGACAACATTCAGAAAATACCGGTAGTCACAACACTACTCTTTACACTCAGGAAATACCAGTAGTCACAACACTACTCTCTACACTCAAAAAATACAGGTAGTCCCAACACTACTATTTACACTCAGAATATATAGGTAGTGTTAACACTAGTCTCTACACACATAATATACTTGTAGTGAGACACCCCTCTTTACATTCAAAAAATACATATAGCCAGACACAACCCTTATTACACCTACTAAATACAGGCAATCAAGCACCCCCTCCCTAAACCTAGATGCTACTTATAGTCAAACATCCATCTCTACACCCAGGAAATAAAAGTCATCAGACATTCATCTCTACACCCAGGAAATACTTGTAGTCAAACATCCATCTCTACACCCAGGAAATAAAAGTAATCAGACATCCATCTCTACACCCAGGAAATACTTGTAGTCAAACATTCATCTCTACACCCAGTAAATAAAAGTCATCAGACATTTATCTCTACACCCAGGAAATAAAAGTCATCAGACATTCATCTCTACACCCAGGAAATACTTGTAGTCAAACATCCATCTCTACACCCAGGAAATAAAAGTCATCATACATTCATCTTTACACCCAGAAAATACTTGTAGTCAAACAACTCATCCCTACACCCAGTAAATAAAAGTAATCAGACATCCATCTCTACACCCAGGAAATAAAAGTTATCAAACGCCCCTCTATATTCAGAAAATACTTTTTGTGTTTTTCAACACGACGAGCCGATTGTAGAACTCTGTATTTCAAATTCAAGAATAGAGAAGCGTTTTAAATCACATAACACAGAGAGGACAGTGTTTTCATTTTTATACGTATTTTAAAATGCTGTATAAACGTAAGTTTAAATTTAAAGGTTAAGGCTAGTGAGTAACTAAAGAGGTTGCGACATTAGCATCTTTAAATGGACCTCGTGTTTGTAAATAAACACTTATAAAATGTTATTATTCTATCATTTTTCAACCAAGAAACTGCTCTAACGTAGTCGATTTTTATTGTGTTTGATTATTTGGATTTGTTGTGCACATGACATTTTTACTTCGTTTATTTGTAAAAACATGAGCTCATAATGTGTGTTTTTTTGTTTCGTTTATATTTAAAACACATTATTTCGCATTGTTTTTTCACCTCGTATAGATATAGATATAGAGATATTTCACATTGTTTTTTCACCTCGTATAGATATAGATATAGAGATATTTCACATTGTTTTTTCACCTCGTATAGATATAGATATAGAGATATTTCACATTGTTTTTTCACCTCGTATAGATATGGATATAGAGATATTTCACATTGTTTTTTCACCTCGTATAGATATAGATATAGAGATATTTCGCATTATGTATCATCATATCATTGCAAATGTCTAAATTTGCTGCACCTTTCTCTGGAAATGTCCAAAATGTCCCACAGCTGTTACTTGATTAACTGTTTGAAAGTTTATTTTCGGTTGTAAAATCGAGGGGGGGGGAGAAGAGTACGAGATACAGAATTGTAATAAGACTAAAATAATGAAGGGGGAACAACAGTAATTTAGGATATGAACACTTGATGTCATCGCTCCTTACGTATTTCTTGTTATTTTCTTACCAGTCTCGATGCTTTATTTTTCAAGAACACAGTTCTAACGTTGGACAATCTTCATTAACTGTCTTTATTGTCGCCTTATTTTCTATCTCGATGCCTTTTCACAACGACATAATACAGTCAGCAGACAATACTTTTCAGTAACGGAAACATGGGAGAGGTAGGAATATCTCCCATTGTTCCTTTCCTGTTTCAACCTGAGGCGTCAGACGTGCGTGTTATTTCGTTACTTATTTCTACTTAAAGTTGTTGTTGTTGATTTCTGCTTTTTACGTATACTTTTCAGTTCTCTTTCCAAGATTATTAACATGCACAGACTACCCCCGGTGGATCAGCTGTACGTTTACGAATTTGATTATTCTATCAGGACCACTCAACAGTCTTTAACCTCTTTCTTTAATAATAAAAACATTAATGTAACATTATGTACATTGATTCAACTCACACGATACAGTTATCGTGACAAGGTACATTATATCTGGTAATCAACACGTGCAACACCTCCTACATATTACTAAACGTCATGCACATAATGAAACTTAATAAATAGACCATCATGTTAAACATGATAACCACATCCAACACCATCTGTAACCTTCACAATCCTAAACATCATACACATAAGGAAAGTGAAGAAATAGACCATCATGTTAAACATGATAACCACATCCAACACCAACTGTAACCTTCACAGTCCTAAACATCATACACATAAGGAAAGTGAAGAAATAGACCATCATGTTAAACATGATAACCACATCCAACACCAAATGTAACCTTCACAGTCCTAAACATCATACACATAAGGAAAGTGAAGAAATAGACCATCATGTTAAACATGATAACCACATCCAACACCAACTGTAACCTTCACAGTCCTAAACATCATACACATAAGGAAACTTAAAAAATAGACCATCATGTTAAACATGATAACCACATCCAACACCATCTGAACCTTTACAGTTCTAAACATCATGTACATAAGGAAAGTTAAAAAATAGACCATCATGTTAAACATGATAACCACATCCAACACCATCTGAACCTTTACAGTTCTAAACATCATGCACATAAGGAAAGTGAAGAAATAGACCATCATGTTAAACATGATAACCACATCCAACACCAAATGTAACCTTCATATTCCTGAGGTTTATGAAATCACGCGAAGTTAAAAAAACCTAACAAAGTGTGTTGACAGACTCCAAGGACACAACGATCCTGACTTATGTGAAACTACTTATCGTGTAACAAATATAAGTTAGTGTCCCGTGTTTTACTAACCAAGCTTAGAATGCCAGTGGACCACATACAAAACCTAACAAAGTGTGTTGACAAGTTATCAACAAAACATATTTATAACAGACTCCAAGGACACAACGATCCTGACTTATGTGAAACTACTTATTGTGTAACAAATATAAGTTAGTGTCCCGTGTTTTACTAACCAAGCTTAGAATGCCAGTGGCCAACATACAAAACATAACAAAGTGTGTTGATAAGTTATCAACAAAACATATTTATAACAGACTCCAAGGACACAACGATCCTGACTTATGTGAAACTACTTATCGTGTTATAAATATAAGTTAGTGTCCCGTGTTTTACTAACCAAGCTTAAAATGCCAGTGGACCACATACAAAACCTCTGCTCCTTTATTTTTGTTTTACAATTCGCAGGTTATATGTCATATAAGTGTGAAACTTCATATAATTGAGTTTAGTATGTTAAACCTAAATCATTTTGAATTATCATGAATAACTTTTGAACGCCGATACGACAGAAAGTGTAACTATAACAAGTTTTAATAAAATTAATACTAGAACTGATGGATATAAAATGAGTTTTAAAGTAACATTACGTTATTTTTTTTCAAACTTAAGATATATTATGTTCAGTATAGAACCAATTATAAACTAACAGATAAAAAGTTACAGCGCCTAACATACATTAAATATT